TTCCTGAAGAGGGGACGAGCTTGACAGGGAGGCCCCACTGAATCTCTGAAGGAAAATCTGCTTAAATGAGACCTACAGCAGTGGCCAACAGCTACAAGCTTGCAGCTATAATAAGTAAAGATAATTCTAAATTTATATAATAATGATGTTTCTGAAGAGCATTATTAATTTAATTCCATCCACCTTTGTTGGCTTGCAGAATAATGTCGCTATATATATAGCTTAAATATTTCAAAACAAATATTTCTAAAATATTTCCAAAAATATTTCTAAATAAGCTGATGATCCTCCATCTTACATTTATTTAAAATACCACTAAGATGATGCAAACAATATAGTTTGGACAATCATAAGCCTCACTTAAATATGTGTGATTGCACTGGCTATGAAAATACCAAATGGCACCTGAAAATATATGATGCTAGAATTTTTCTTAGAACTAGCCTAATTTTCCTGAACCTTTTTGGCTAAGACTTTTAACCAGCTGGTGTTGTAGTGATTTTAGTGGATGTATGAAGTTAGTTCTCCTCAAGCTCACACTCACACACAGGTGTAGCTCATCACATTAACTACGGACATATTTCACCAAGGCTAATGAAGCACAACCAGAAAATGTCCAATTACTTTATCTTCATTTTGAACAGCACATCTTTGTTTGAAATAAAAGCCTAATAAACTAAAACGTGGATAAAGCATGCTAAAATCCTTGCAATGGAAAAACTTCCATGTGGGACTTTCCTAAAGATGCCCAATAGACTGCCATATTTTTTATACTTTTGTGTTTTTTTTTTTACATCTGCTCTGCCATTATTTATTTATTTGGTTTTATTTTGATCCTGTTCCTGTCTAAAATGTGTGTATTCTGTATGACTGTTCATATTGTGATGAGAAAAATGCTTAAAAACAAGAAAGAAAGAAAGGAAAAAAAAACTACCAAGCTTCTTTTTTTGTTTTGTGCCAAAAATGTGTCTTTCTCTTTGATATTTCCTTAATTGTATTTAATTTAAAGTGTGGCTCAAGCATCCCTTTTTGAAGCCACTGTTGCTTTTAAAATGCTGGTTTTTGATCATGACAAATGGAAAAAAAAGTTGAGGTAAAACCTTCTTTCACGTTTATTTTGGTTGACCTCAGTCAAGCACCATTTGTAGTCTGACTACAAGTTAAATGACAAATGGAAAAAGCTTTGGCCAAAAGTTTTGTTCATGTTTATTTGGTTGACCTCAGCCAAGCATCTAGGTAACCTCCCTCGCACATTTGACTCAGATATCACCGTTGTTCTAGGGTGAGTATTTGTTGCTCAATTAGATGGACAAAACAAACTGGGATGTTCTGAAACTAGATGCATTTTTGCAGTATCAAATGCACAAATTTTTGCTAAATGTCTCCCACATAGATCCCCCATGTACCTCAGCTGCTGATCAAGGGAATATTAGAAGAAATATTAGATGGAAAAGGGGGAAAGGACAAAGCCAGAAATAGTGCGAGCCATCAAGCAGAACTGGACATTCCAAAACAAAACTAAAATTATATCATAAGCCTAAAAAAAAAAGATTATTGATAGTCATACTGGAAACACTTGCAAGCACTCCGCAAGGCTCACTGACATAATCAGGAACTGGGCAATGAGGGCATGGCAGACGAACAAAGCGTTGAGGTAAAAGTGGGACGGAGACACAAGTCATTCCTAGCATTCCTGGTTTTGTGCCTCACATTTATTCTCGTCTTCTTCATGTTTTCAATCAACTGTGGGATCTTTCTTATGAGCACAAGAAACCGCAGAGTAATTTGCGTAGCAAATCAGGTTGACTTTGCACAGCACTCTCACATCCATCTATTTGTTGTGCCTGTGTTGTTCTTTTATTGAATTCCAGCAACATGATAAGGGCATCGCTGCCATAACACTCGTTTCCAAAAAGCCAACTAAGGACACTTGAACGGGAGGAAAAAATGGCTTTTTTAACCTAGATGACTGAGGACAGGGGGCATGGATTGGATGAGGTAAGCACTGCAGGCAGGTGATTTTCTGAGAGCGGTGAAGGGCAGAGGTTCAAGCCAACTGCAGGTCATCAAAGTCAGGTTTTGTATCCGACTGTAAACAGTGGAAAGATGGCCCGGGCAATGGAGCACACCAGGGAAGCCATCCAAATGCAAAGCATAGTTAAAGCGCTGTGGCCATGGCAAGCCTGGGCATGCCTTCTCAGCTGACTGCGTGTAGCCACTGCTGGGCCAACTTGGCTTTGAGGGATACAAGCATGCACTTATGGCTCTACCCGCCACAAGTCTGACTCACCTATTTTTAAAAGCAACCCAAATGAAGTGATTAAGTAATTAAACAGAAAAACAGCCGGCCTCTGGAATGTAGGTCTCTGAAGTTGTTTTCAACATTTCAATGTCAAGTCCAATTCACTTTTTCAAGAGCTTTTGAAGTTTGAGCTAAAATAGTGGGCATATGTCATGGCCGTTAGTGCCTAGTGTTTCTTCAGCGCTTGGGGAAGTTGGGTAGGTAATACAGATACTCTGCACTCATAAAATAACTGGATAAAAAACGGACGCCTCAGAATCCAAATAAGAATAGCCTGACCATGGCAGTTTGGCTTCGTTCTGTGATACCAGATCAAAGGTTGAACTACAAGGGCAAGATCATTGATACAGCGCAGGAAAACATGACTCATTCCCCGTGGTAAAAAACATTCATGTGCACAAAGCTCTATGGACCAATTCTTCCATATGTCCACATTTTTCTAGCCTTAAAATAAACACATGAGAAAATCGAAATTTACGACAACCCCTATGACTAATTTTTTCCACACTTTTTAGTTCTTCTCCTCATAGATTGCTTTGCTGTTCCATCCAATATTGGCCTCACTTGGCAACCTGAATTGGGTGCAATGCTTTAATCATTTATCCCACTCAATAAAACTGCACATTAATGGTTTTGAACGGCACTAACCAATTGAACACAATTTCCAAGTGTCAACAGAAACAGTCCCTTTCAGTTTGCCAAAGCAGTCAGCTTTAATCCAAACAGGAGAGTTCAGAGAAAATATCATGGTAATGCTCGTTAAAGATAATCTAAATATTTTTAGGAGAACAGACCTGAATATTGCTAGGTCTAGTTTCCGAATAGTGACAATTCATGGTAGCAGGATCTGTCGCGATGAGCGCTCCTGTGATGATAATGGCGACTTGTCTGATTGGATCTTGCATCAGGATTGTGGTTAGCGTAGTTTTTACCTGCGTTTTGGTCATTAAAATGTTTCTTTATTGTTATTATTTTAACTACGTAGAAATCATAATGGCAGATTTAACAAAATCATATAAATGTATACATGTATGCATTATTGCGAAAATAATTCTTAATAATTTTCTCTGTGTGGAGTGTGTGCAGTCGCAGTTTATTGCATCAATTATCATGCATATTTTTGATTAGCTCCCACCTCGCTGCTACCCACTTATGCAATAAAAACAGCACAGACAAGGTAAGACGTGTTTTTATATTTAATGCTGTTCACGGCTAATTTTATTTAATAGTGCATCATGCACTTTTGTTTAGGTATAATGTGGGTTTATCATTCAGGAATGTTGTGGTTGTATGTATGGTCACAGGGAATTATGCCATACTCTAGGTTTTCGTGAAATGCCGCCACTCAGTAGGCCACTAACAAAACCACTAAACCACTGTAAGTCTCATAATATGCAATGAGATTTATTATGACTTAATGTGTTAAAAAGTTATTAGTCTATTGTTATGTTCTAGAGCATTTCGTGGACAGAACTGCAATAAAATAAAATAAAAAAGCTGACAGAGTTAAATCAATAAAGCATTTGTATTTTGGACTGGTGTGCGTTTACAATACAATGATGTAACTCACTGATTAACTAGCATAGTATAATGCATCGATAGAGAAACTAACCAACTAGCTATGCGACTATTTCCCTGAAACCGCGTAGTAACACGGTCGCACCTCCATGATCGTTTGAACCACGTTGATACAGGACTGCTGTTAATGACATCATGCACAGGTGGTGGAATAATAACTTCTATTAATTGATCGATTGAAGATTTCCGAGATGCTGCTCTAACAAACATGGCATCTGAGGACTACTTCACTGCTTTTTGTTTCTTGCCATTTTGGTAACAACGGAACTTGCAAACACAGTTGGTTAACAATGTTTTTAAAAATGCACTCCTGGTCAGTCTGCTTTTACAAAAAACCTGACCTTAAAAGTGCATATCAGTCAAACCAAGAAGGCATCTATTGCGGGGTTTATGTATAATATTTTAGGCTAAGGATTCATCAGCATTATTGAGTCTTACCTTCTGCTTCACGAGGGCTCCAGTAGCCAGAGGGAGCGCAGGGTCTGGGAGAAGAGGAGTTTGAGGCATACTGCAGGAGCACCCCAACTTCAGTACATCTGTCACAAACTGATCCCACTTCTCTAGGAAATCAACAGACAGCCAAGGTAGCAACTTAGACACAGCAACACCACAACAACCTCTTGATGGCTTTAAAAACGGATAAAACAGTTTCTATGCTGATGAGAGAGAAATTCTGATTTAAATGACTCACACCTCTCTATTGGTCCACTATGACTTCAACCTGTGGGTGCCATGTGCACTACTGCACTAAATAAACTACATACTAATTGTTGTTGACATGATTGACCTTGATTTGTTTAGCATCTCACTATTCATTTTAACTGGGGTACTTACATTATATAAGAATTTCTGGATTTTAACTAATAAAACCTAATTAAATATATAAAAATCAATTAGTTGAAAAAAGCCCTAAACACACTCAAAACATCACAAAATCAATGTAGTGCATTTGATTTTGTATCAGATTTCTCTTTTTATCATGTTGTTAATCATCATGTGTTTGATATTAGGTTGCTTTCTTTGTACAAAACATTTTGTAGTTTGAACAAAAGAGACCCTAAAACATCTTTTTTTTTTCTTTGTTATTTTAAATACATCTTTACTGAAAGGAGCAGAAAATGCTGGCTGTCAACCCCAGGAGGTCAAACTAAATGTTCTATAAATGTTATCTAAACAAATAAATATATATAGTTTGATTTATTTTGATATATAGGCTATGTTTTATTTCTATGAAGTTTATATAAGTTTATGTTTTTGGTGGGGCATTTCTACATAAAGTTTAAAATCCTGATTTTGTAATGTTCCAGAAATAAACATTAAATAAACATCAAAAATAAACAATAACTAAATAAATAAATAAGTAAATAAATAACGTTTATATTTTAAACTACACCAGACTGGGTAACAGATTTTCAAATCAAGTCATTTTTGCAAGATATCTTTTTTTCTTCATACATTTTAATTCATTTTATTTCTTTTTTTTTCTTCAATAACTTACAATGCAAATAATGTCACTTCTTGGGTTTCACAATTTTAATGAATGTTAAATTTTTCATTATGGTGGAAGTCATGTGTTAACATTTGAATACATATTTAATTATTTTATTAATTTTTAATAAACATTTTAATAAATAATTTCTTGATTAATAAAATGAATTAATAATCTATCTAGGAACAGCTTTGGCTCCTAGCTCTTTTCACCTGTCTAAGTAATGGCCGGTGAGGGAAGGAAACCACTCTAGTGTAATAGAGTCTTGGTCCTGGGCTGTAACTCGAGGAGTTAGAGGAACAGGAGCTGGTTTACTTCCAGGTCTCCAAGACTGGTAGATCAGATCCAGGTAACAGTGCATTCGGGCCACCTGGTTCAGCGTGAAGGAATCTGTGCAGACATCATCTTTATGGGAACAAAACGAACAAAGAATGTCAGATGTTATACTAATTTTAAATTCAATTCACAGATTTCCTGTCCAAGTCAGTGCAGAAAATGCTAAAAAAAAAAAGTCTACAGAAGGCTTCATCTCAGCAGAAATTTACAGCTGATATATGTCTCACCAGCATAGCTCATGTAATTGTTGAAGGGGGTGTTTATGAAATGCCGTCTGCCACAGGTGTCATTGCCTGGCTCAGGATCTCTACAGTACTTGTACTTGGGTGTGGGATTGGTATCTACACACAGATCTCCTGTCTCAAGAGAAGGCTCAGTCTCTAAGCAGGCATCGTTACAGGACTCCACTTCTGAGATTCCCCTGAAGACATGGTACAGTCCAAGGCTGTGGCCAATCTCATGGACCATGGTGTGAGTGTGGCCAAATGTACCATAAAATGAAGGGTTTAATACAATCCCACCTAAAAAAAAGACAGAGCGAGAACAGGTATTATAAGCAATATTTTTTTTGGTACCTGTTTAATGTCTTTTTTTCTGATGACAATGAAAGTTGATATGCAATGCTCTTCAAACGCTTTAAAACTACAATACAAAGGATGCTAAACCAATGGTTGTTATCAACATTGAAGTGGTGCATCTATTTATTTACCTAAATGTGTTAAAGCTTCTTTATCCCAGGGCCAAGTGCCCACGCCAGCCACGTCTTCATCAGATGAGTTAGCAAAGAAGATGTTCAAGTGTGTAGATCCATCCAAATTCAAAACCTCTTTCAGCTCCTTCACGTTCATGTAAGCCCTACAGAACAAGAAAGACTTATTAACACACCAAATATTCAAAATGTGTTCAAAATCATAAATGTATACTGTAAACCAGACCTTACAATCAAACATAGAATTCTTTACAAAATAATTAATTCCAGCTGACCAGCTGTCGCTTGTACTTTCGTGCATATGTTCTTATATTTCCAACCATCTTACATTCACTCATCATGATTATTAAAATGCCAACATTGCTCTTTTATGCCTATTTACAGTGGCTGCATAATATTGTATTTGTACAGTGCTTCACGTCCTGCAGATGTCACTGTATTCTGCTCAGCTAACTGACTCAGCTACGTAGTTTGGACTCTGTTGCTTATTTTTACAATTATTATGTTTGTAATATACTAGGTTAGGGTTTTCCTGTTAGGATTTTCCTTCATTCATTTTCACTGCTTTCCCACTGTTGAATCTTAAGTGCAACAGCAAAAGAAATCATAGTTTTAAGTTTGAGATTACAGTCTGTATTGAATGTGATGCAATAAGAATTTCTCTGTAAAATGGTAAAACATGTTTTTTCTGTTGAGTTGTTCTAATGAGCTGCACACAAATACAAACATGACGTGACCAGTATTGTCTGATTCACCAACAAATGACTCTTGTGACTCTTCTGAGCACATCTTAAGAGTCATTCATTGGGCTACACTGGTCACACAACTTACACTGTGTTTCTGAGTCGCTAAAAAAATAACTCGCTCATAAAGGTGCGGTCACATTTACCACTGTTCGGCAATTTTTTGTGGGTGAAAACCAGTAATTTCAAGAGAAATCCACACAATTGGGAATTTCGCTTGAAGACAAGATTTCCCCACACACTTTTCACACCAGGTTCCCCTTCAGGAACTCGAGCTGCATCGAGATTCGCTTTGGGAACACCCCTGCGTGACCGCGTTCTGAAGCACGTGTAAAATCAGTCCAATGGAGCAGCGAGACGTCACGAGCGGGGTGACGTGAGCGCCAGGAAGTATAAAAGCGCATCTGGCAGAGCGCAAGTTAGCTTCTGCTCTTCAGTAGCGCTCTGTGTATGTGTCAGTCTATTTAATGTTGTCTGTCAGTCCACAAGCATTCAAAAGAATATGTCAAAGTCTAAACTAATATCTATGGCGAGCAAACGGCATTACAGACGTTGTGTGCCTCCCTGCCCACACTATCTGGCAGCGGGGGATACACACGATCTGTGTGTTATAACCTAGACCTGGCATCTACCCCAGGTTCCCAAGTTCTCTCTTCGTGATGTGCTCATCTGATACACACACAGGCAGGGACTTGGTAGTATGGCGCAGTGGGTAGTCTCGTTCCCAAAGCGAATCTCGATGCAGCTCGAGTTCCTGAAGGGGAACGTCTCTAGTTTACGTATGTAACCATGGTTCCCCGAGGGAACGAGACGCTGCGTCTCTTTGCTATACTCCCTGCATCCCTCCAGGCGCTACTTCATCGAAGCTAACTTGCGCTCTGCTGGATGCGCTTTTATACTTCCTGGCGCTCACGTCACCCCGCTCGTGACGTCTCGCTGCTCCATTGGACTGATTTTACACGTGCTTCAGAACGCGGTCACGCAGGGGTGTTCCCAAAGCGAATCTCGACGCAGCATCTCGTTCCCTCGGGGAACCATGGTTACATACGTAACCTAGAGACGTTTTTCACAGATTTGCCGCCTTAACCAACAGAAAGATGCTTGTTTTGAAATTAACTTCTGAGTGAACTGTGCTTTTTACATCTCTATACTAATGGCAAACTTTAATGGACTATTTTTGCACACAATATTTCACCGAAATTTCACTAAAATGTTTGTGATAGCACATTTATTAGCCACCTCTTTCAATAAGCATCATAACTGAAATATACCCAAATGAACTGGAATCAAACTGTGAGTCAGCTTGTGAGTCAGAATTGACTCAAATAGGAAAATCTATATCTATATGAATCACTGGATTTACAAATGGTACATTTTGTTTACTTGACTCTAAACATTTAATTTAAGTGTGAATATAATTACCACATTTTGAAGTGACGTGTGCTCTGCATTTAACCCATCCAAAGTGCACACACACAGCAGTGAACACACACACACCGTAAACACACACCCGGAGCAGTGGGTAGCCATTTATGCTGCGGCGCCCGGGGAGCAGTTGGGGGTTCGGTGCCTTGCTCAAGGGCACCTCAGTCATGGTATTGAAGGTGGAGAGAGCACTGTACATTCACTCCCCCCAACTACAATCCCTGCCGGTACGAGACTCGAACCCACAACCTTTGGGTTACGAGTCCGACTCTCTAACCATTA